ACGGAGGTTTTTCACATTACTCACAAACATTATAAGCTGAAGTTTGTTGAGTAAAAACCAAGGACAGCATCAAGGACTATCACCTTTTTAATTCACGGATAATTCCCTCATTGTGGCATGCAGCCAACGAGGTATTTTATTATTTTTATATAACGTTACATTGTTTCATTCTGTTGTAAGCCAGCTACAATGTACACTGTGTGGTTTGATGGTAGCTAATTAGTTAATTGTATCAACTGTATTGTTCTGTACAGTTTTCACGGTTCTAATGAAGATTTGGAGGCTTCATTAAATCAGTTCAAGAAATCCATTTGTGCTCGTCGTGCCTGAGGGGAATTACACTCACAGCAAGGACAAAGAAATGAAGTTAAACCAGCAACAGTGACTGAGCAGGAGGTGCATATATGGGAGAGAGAAACACAGACCAGGCTAATCAGCAGATTGGGAGCAGGTGTGGACAGAGGAGACTAGAAGGGAGCGAGGGGACAGAGGACAGACACAAGAGGGCAGCAGAGGGCAAACAACAAATACCTAAGAACTCAAATACAATAAAAAATAACTAGAATAACGCAGAATGGAAATAAAACCAATGAAAACTCAAAGGTGAAAGTTAAACAGAAAACAAAACCATGACATAAAAAAATTATAATTTGGAAAAATAAAATTTTAGAAAATGGCAAATTTACTCTCATAACCATTTTTGATTAACACATTTTTCAAAGTTATGTTATGTTTCAAAGTTGTTGTTTTTTTCAAATTACCCTTGACAAAACATTTTTATTTACAAAAAATTGTCTTTTTAAAATTTCCATTAACAAAAAAACGTTTTATTTATTTGAAATATGTTCTTTGAAAAGTGTTTATTGCTTACATCAATAATGGAGCAAACTTCACTCTATATAAAACAAAACAAAAATGGAGACAGGAGTTTCTTAGGAGTCTGATAAAGTCTGAAGACCTTTTTGTTTTATTTTGCTTTGAAACGGTAAAAAAAAAATTAATCCAAAACCCAAAATGTCAGGAAAAACATAAAAAGACAAGAATATAATATTGCTCAAAGAAAGCAGAAGATTGTTCCAGAGCGCCGGCGCCACCACCTGAAAGGAGCAATCTCCCCAGATCCTCTAACGAGTTCGAGGGACCATGAGCAGGTTCTGGTCTGAGACCTCAGCCTCCCAGAGGGGGAATAAGGACACAACAAGTCCCTAATGTAGGAGGGAGACTGACCGTGGAAGGCTCTGAAGATCAGCACCAGGATTTTAAACTGGAACTGAAAAACATTAACAACTTTTATTTAGAATATCACAGTATTTTTTTGACATCAAGAAAGAACCAAATATTTCAACAGTTATAAATATAAAAAAAGCTCCACTGATAAGTATTAACATGTTGATTTATTTCTCTGTTGTGTTCAGTGATGTAATGCCAAACACATGACGTGTTTATGTTTGTAACTTCAGGACACTTGGCTAATGCAGCGACCGAGCTCATGAAGCTGGACCACGAAGAACCTCAGCTGACAGAACCCTACCTGTCCAAGCAGAAAAAGCTAATGGTGAGTTTAAGTTCCAGCCAGAGGCCAGCTAACCTGACTCCGCCAGATGGATTTGCTCCGCATATCCATCTGGAAACCTTC